AGTTAGAACAATAGTTGTCCCACTGTTCCTTCATTGTAGCCCCAGCTGCCTACTGCTAACACCTCAGAAGTGAAACAACAGGGGTTTATTTTAATCACTTGTAAATGTGGCCAAGTTCAAACTTGATTAGGCACCTCCAACTTCACAGCAGCATCTGCAAGTGGAGCACCTCTAACAAAATAAACAGGTTCTAGACATTCACCTGCTGAATATCCACTTCTGCCCTTTGTCAGTGTCAGTTTAACACATGAAATGCCGAAGGTCAGCTTCATAGCTGACCATGCTACACCCTTTGGTTACAAAAACTAACTTTTTGTAAATACTTAGAAAATCTTCGTGTTTCCCTAATCCCGTATCTATGATGATTGTCTAGTTGAAAGTGTTCTGCTGGATTTTTTTTAATTTAGAAAACCTATGTGTGGCCCCTACCCTGACTTACCCTTATCCTTCACACAGTCTCTGATTGCACCCAAAATAGCTTTTATACTCTTCCTTCCTTCCCTCCTGCACTTCACAAGGCTCCTCTGCCTGGCCAGTAGAGGAAACTGGGAACTCGCTCTGCTCTGCCGCCCCTCTCCCAGCAGGTGTCAGTGCCCTTCTGCACCTGCCACCCAAACAGGCAGCGGCTTTTCTTCAGGTTTGCTCTTTTGACGTTTCTCTTGATGTCAGAGAGCCCGAAAGAGGGAAGGCTTTCTATCTTTCACTCTGGCAAGATCAATTACAGGTCAGAATTAAGTTGCAGGAGGGGATCTGGCTGAGGGCTATACCCGTTGTCTTTGGAAATTTCTATGCCTGTCTGAAAAAGGCTGAAGTTAACCAAAGTATTCAATAACATAACCATTTCAATCCAGCAAATTCTCTTCTGTTCATTCTGTCCCTCTTGCCTATGATGAAGGCCACCGTCCATAGGCAAAACGGGAAACAGGGAAACATGGGTCACACAGGAAACAATTTTTAAAGCAAATCAGGACATGTCTCTGCACCACCATCACTACACAGGTTCTCACACACGCCAACTTCTGCACAAATCCTTCAGGCTCTGTTTAAAGCTTCTGAGCAGTCACGGGGTATGGAAAGGGGTGGAGCATTCGTCTCATTTTCAACTACTCCAGCAGCAATTTCAAGAGCACGGGACAAGCCAGGTTAGAAAACATGTGCCTCAGAAAGCAAGGTACACAGCCTCTTTGCATCTCCTTTCTAGGATGCAGGCCAGACACCCACGGCCAACTACGACTACAGTCAGCAGACGATTCTTTTCCATACTATTCTGGCTGTAGATTGGTCCACTCCATTTTATTTCTAAGTAATAAAGAGAAGATAATCCAGTCATAGATTGTTTGTTACAACACTATCCAAAAATAACTTCTGCACCAAATTTGGCTCTAATTTCCACATAGGAACTTTGGAAGGTTATAGCTAATTCACTGTTTAAAGTCAAACAGTCTTAATCTGATCCTTTTAAGTGCTTCTGATTGTAAATCAGCATTAATCCAAGTTTTCTCAGTTTTGAAAGCTTTGCTAGTCTAAATGCTAATTGTCATGGAATTTTGCAAGCCACAAGTACACTTCTCACAGGTTTTCAAATGTCTATTAAGCGTCTCTGTCACTCTTTTTGGCCCTTGAAGATATGCCAAAACACAAATGTTAAATTATGTAGCTTGTGAGGACTTCCCAATCACATCCTGCCATATGTCAAATGATGTGCCTTTTACAATTACCATACATAGCAAGTCACTAGAGTCATAGCATGGTTTGGGCTGGAAGTGAAAAAGTCATATGAAAGTCATAAGAAGTTAACTATTTCCTTGTTGGGGAACAATCAGAAGGAATTTTTGTTAGTATCTTTCTATTTCCTTGCTGATTTAAAAATACTCATGAGATGCTAAAAATCGGGGTTTTTTCCTTTCCAAAAGTCAAGTTGGATAGGAAACCAGGCATCTCCACTTCTGATACAGAATTGCTCCCGTTTACGCGTCTTCTAGAAGGTTCTGCATAAAGTAATAAGAAAACACACACCTTTCTGAAAGGTGCTGAACATTGTCCTTAATCTTAGCATTCCTCATTTCCCCTTCCCTTCTGGCCTTTAATAAACTCATTTTTAATATTATCAGGTCTTATGGCACTCTCAGTTGATTTCAAAAGGAGAGAATAAGTAAGAGAGTTCTTTCTTCAACAAATAAAAAGTTATTCCAAACATTGTGTTGGGCCACGTCAACGGAAAATAAAATCCTGCTTGGGGACAGTTCCACACCTCTTAAATAACGGCGACATGCTTTGGAGTACCCCAGGATAATTTAGCAAAGACTGGAGCACCAGGTCACAGTATTCCTAAAGCACTCTAACATTGAAGTGTTTTACAAACTGACCATTCAGCAGGCTGGAGGAGGATAGGATCGTGGATCTGAACTAAATCCTAAGCAATGAAGCCATAAGAAGCCTGCTGCTGTGTACAGCCCCGGGAGGAGGAGCAACTTAACGCTACCACCTTGGCTTCACCACTCAAATGATGTCCAAGCCAAAAAGCAGGTTAGAGGTCCACCTTAAAAATCAGTTATGTGCTGAAGTGTTCATGAACAACCCCCCCCCCCAGCCCAAACTTTCACAGTATCTTAAATCATTTCTGTTTGCATGTCTCTTCCGTTACTTTCCTCTGAACATCCCACCACACAACCCTCCCACCATTTCATCCTTCTCACTTACATCACCATAATTACAGTCCTGGCTGATCCTCTTTGTGCTGATCTCGAGATTCTTTCTTTGGTCTTGCCACCTACTCATTTCTGATTCTTCTCAGATAACAGAACGCTTGTCTCCTTCCCAGACCTCCCACCCTCCTTCCCCCTCTTCCTTGCACCATCCATATGAGTAAGAACACTGGTGTTTTCCTGTCTTCAAGAGCTCTTCGCGGCACTCACTGAAAGGCATTCCCAAACTTATTATCTCCATCCAGCAAAGACTACAACAGCTCTGCTGTGGGCCTGGTAAGATATTTACGCTTGTGGGCAAAACATTCTTTGGATTAGGCTTCCAGAGGGCAAGAGTCTTAACCTTCAGAAGTTTACTTTGAAGTCTGCTCGATTCAGGTTTCCTAAATCATTCTGTGCATTTACTTCCAGCTAGAGCACATCTGTACGTCGCCAGTGGAGAGCATTCACTCGGCACGTAACATTTAGTGGGGCTGCCCACGTGTGCATATATGGAGTCAAACAGCACACTCCCCCTTCAGTGGGAGCAGATACCTACTGTTCTCATACTCTGCACTATAAATTGCATGAGGACAGAGACAGGTATAACCAACAGTTTCCACACCACTACAGAGCTTAAGGGGAAGGAAGGGGTGTAGAGGTAAAAGGGAAAGATTTTCCACACACTCAGAACATGCATCCTCTTCTATTTCAACTCATCCTCTACTATGGAAAATGTAAACAGAGAAACTCCAACAAAAGTAGTTCAGTGTAGGCAAGGCAGTCATCCTTACATTGCAAGGCACCCAAGAAACCAAACATCCCCCGGTTTTTAACTGTCACTTGAACCTTAGCTGTATTCTGATGCAAATCAAGTGCTCTGCGTCAATCCAGATAAAATTACATGTGTTTTGCTTACTGGTACTGTGTTAACACCAAAGGGCAAAATACAACAATCATGGACCTGGGCAACTAAGCTGAAAAATCAATTATAAAATTCAAGGTTAAAGCATTTGCTTTTTTTTTTTTTTTTTTTTTAATAGGTATAATACTTATGGCAGTTGCTGTAACTAACAATACTTAACAGCAGCGTTTGTTGTGTAGGCTACAAAACCCAAATCCTTCAATCCACATCTAAAATCAGCGTGACTCGGGCATACTGCAAAAGGCAAGACTGTCTGCTTGCCTCAAAAACTTTTGCTTAGCAGGAGGAAAAAAAGAGCACGCGTTTTGCCTTTTCACTTTACTTCAGCTTTAAAAAAAACAAACCCTGAAGTCTTAACTCCAACGAAGTTTAGACTAACCAGAATAATGGCATAACTACAGAGGAGGCTTGAATCACGCTGACTGGCTGACGACTGACACACTGCACAGAGCAAACTTAACGGGGCTTTCTCTGGCTGAAAGCCCAAGCAGAGCGCAGGGCCAACAGGAGGCCGCTTTGCTGACCATTCCGAGTGCCACGGGGATCACGTGGCCAAACAGGGCAGAGGGAGAGGGGATAGATACAGAGCCCACTCCTGTTATAATGCAGAGGTGAGTTTAGAAAGTGTTATTTTTTTAGACAGTGTAGAAACAACTATTATGTCGAATGAACGCCATTCCTACTAGAAAACGTGTCACACAGAAGAAGAGAAGGCCCAGCCTTCCAACACAGAGAAACGAGGACCTCACTGTGGTACTGTGCGCACACACACAAGCAGACTAGATGGGGTTATTGGATATGTGTAATCAGTAGTCATTCCACCTTCTGTGCAGATGGTATGATATGAAGAGAGAAAACACAGGTTGGAAATACAACAACAAAAAAACCCAACCCGCACCACACATGAAATGCCACTGTACAATCAAGAGAGAAATTCTTGCTATGACTGAAACACAGTTCCACTTCCTTGGCAGATGTTTTGTTAGTATACAGGTGAATAAATTTTTAAGAAGTGTACCCAGCCAGCATCTTGTCGACGTCAGCACATAAAGTGTACTCCGAAGCCAGCTTCAAACCTGCTCTTACGAACTATGGCAGTCTGCTGGCTGGGAGGGTTCGCACCGCTTAATAAACCCATCCCTGTGCTTCACAGGCAGACTTGCAGCGAGTCAGTGAGGTATGGTCAATTTGAAAATATTACAGTTAAGAAGAGAAATGGTGAACACCTAAGGATAGCCGGTATAAAAACCATCAGTAGTTGAAGTAACATTAGCTTTGGGATATGATACTTCTGCAATTTTTGCTAAATTCATATTATTGCATAAAATTTATAAGAAAGCTTATTTTACAATTCAGTTTTATCATCAGGAAAGCTTTAGAGATGTTCTTACCATGCTTCAGATGTAGGCAGCTGTCATTCTGGGGCCTGTACCTGTAGAAGATTGTTTTCCTTTAACAAATTTCTGTTACAGTGTTTTTGCACATTCCAAATAAGTGTGTTTGCTACAGTATTACATGGATTTTTTTGGTGTGCTTTTGGTTTTGTTGTTTGTTTTTTTTATGGTTCTTATACCAGCCATTTTTGTTGGGGAAAACAGGGTATTTCTTTGTATATATTTTACAAGCAAAGAGGAGACCTCACTGATGCTTTTAGCCAACCTACTAGACAGCTGTTAGTGTACACAGAATGTAAAACACAGTGATAAAAAACACAGTGGCTGCAAAAAGGTCAGCGTAAAGTTTCCAGTGTCCGATAATCCCACTCAGTACTTGAATCATACTTAAGTCTAAGGATGACACAACATCAGTTCAGGAGAAAAGCAAAGGTAAAGCAGGACAGTGATTGCAGCAACGCGTAAGTTCAGCCAAAGACGCTGATGCAGTCAGGACTGCTGTACGGAAAGGTGTAACAGAAAGGAGACACATATTCTGTGCATTTTCACAAGCTTGCGTTCAAAGTGAAGTATCTTAAAACATCTATTGGAAGCAAGTGTTAGAGAAAAGCACGTAAAAATTAAATAGCGCAAGCCCTGGTTTCTAAAATACACCCGAGGCGAATGCTAAGTAAGAGCTGGTCATGGCCTACCTGATGCTGATTCCTGCAACTTTTCTCTCTTCCTCTTTTTTTTCTTCCCCTGAAAAACAGGCAATTATACCATAACATTACATGCACAGAACTTGTTTTGTCACTCCCCCACCTCACAGCATAGAAATGACAACCATTGAGGCACTGAGAAAGCAGTTAGGGAAAAAAACCCACAGTTGTTTTTGGAGTAGCTTTTCTAATCCACTTCCAACTGTTTCAATGGTAACAAGGTTTGCTCTCAGCATCTATGGAGAAATATGCATATGAGCAATACATATTTTTATATCCACATGGAATTACAATTTCTGGCACTTTTTCAACTAACGCTGGCAGCCGCAAACATCTAAAAGACTTCTCACGCTTAATAATCTGATGACACATATGTTGATATCGTAATTTACGGCTCTTACAAGAACTCTTCACACATTCAGATACTTACACTGTCATACATGGCAACAGCAGACAGGGTGTTGAAAGTACCTAGGACGGCCATGACTTGTCCCCAGGGTGCAAACCAGCCAACTAAAACTGTTCTGATAACGCTTGTATCTTAACAAAAGCCAAGTCTCACATGGCTGTGCCCGGAGAACACGCTGTGCAAGAGTCACATAGCAGACTGCTGTACAGCAGAGCACCCTTAACGTGACTGAGGTGCGGGACAGAAATGGACGCCTGGCAGCTGTCTTTCTTGGACACCACACTGGCACCAGCGTGCCGGCGCAGGCTCATCATTGCCAACCCACACACCCGGCCTTCTCCTGCACCCCCATCCATGGAAAAGGCCAGAGCTCCCAGTTTGCACAGTCGTTCAAGAAACAAAAGGTCACTTTAGACCCACAATTTTAAACCTCAGTCATCTTGCATCACCCTAATTACCACTTTGATATTCCTCTGTATGACTTCTCTTTATTATCCTGCATTGTCAGTCAAAGCTTTTTTTTTCTTTTCTAAAAAAAACAGTCAGATCCATTTATATTTTAAAGAAGCCTTCAAGCTGCCAGGACAGGCTCTAACAGATGAGCTCTGACAAACCTTGTTGCAGTTGCTGTAAGCAGGACTGCAGCCCACCGTCCATCCATCTGCCCCAACCCCCCCCGCCCCCGAGCCAGATGTTACTCCACTCAACGTGGCTGGTAGTTGCCAACGCACGTCTCCATGTAGACCGTGCCTTGCACAGTGGCCACAAACCAGAAGTGCCACAGTGGAGGGACACATCTTTCCCTTAGCTGGCTCTGCAAGGCGATGGAATGGACAGCAGGTGATGCGAGAAACCATCTCAGAGCACTGCAGTGCTCACTGATGGACAGCAAGCAAGGGCTCCAAATACAGGCTATGGTGAAGCTATGGCAGACGAATTTAAGTAGTCTCCAGTCTGCTCTGGCAGTCTGGCCTGCCTGACTCTTCAGCTCCTTTCCTTCTTTATCCTGAGGCTGGCAACAGGGCTGGGCAATGCCTTATGAGTGAGCTCCCAAAGACGGGACCAAGACTAGAAGTTGGAAAGCAGATTTCAAGGGCTCTCAGAAACTCACAGTGATACACTTTACCACTTAGGCACCAAGGCAATGCTGCTTTACAGAGGAAAGTGCATTAGTGCAGATGTTAATGTAGAAAAATCATGTGAGGAAAATTACGGTTTAGTGTCTATGGCAGGCTGACTTCAAGTGCTAAAACATACTGAAAGCTGATCTGAGATCCATCTATGAGATACCAGCAGCGGGGGGGAACAGAAGGAGAAGACTTAGCTGGAAACTCGTTGTCAGCATTCCCAAACGAGGTAGTTTCTGACAAGTCCAGCACATGCAGACACCATCACATTATGAAAACACTGCTTCTTGTGACTATCACACAGCTTTGCAGAACTGCTTTGAGAGTGTCAGTAACAAAAACATAATAAAAAGCACACACATGTTGTCAACAGTAGAATAGCAATGCTTAACATTTTCTTGAAATTTCTGAAACCCTGAATAGCCAGGCAAACCAAAACAGAAGAATTAAAACCAAGTAGTACATAATTTTTAATTGTACTGTTTTGTGAAATTCAGACACATGAAATGGAAAAATCACCCCTAAGTCACTTCCAACTCTCAAAATACTGCAGTAATATCTGTGCTAAAGAAACACAATTTCATTTTTTGACTGCTCAAGTTAGGAAAAATGAAGAGAAAGAACAAAGGGAAAAAAAAAGATGCCATATACCTGAAAAAGTTTCAGTGATAAACTGTGATCTACTATGATCACCCTCTCACCACCACTGCAACAAATGTGTGGGTTCCTGGATAGGCAAAAAGAAGGACTGCAAGAGGAAGCTAGCAGAGATCTTCATTGTAACATACAGGACTGGAGTATGTCGGAGCCACACTTTCACACAGGATGCAGGTTGGAAGCACATCAAAGAGAGAATTCATACGTGCCACCTTACACACCCCAAATGTCTACCAACGCATTTCAAAAACCACAGGGTCACTACTTGTGCTGTGTGGCAGTGGGCTGTGGCAAAACACATCAGGTTCTCAAAATCAACATGACCAAGCACACAGGACAATCTTTAAGGCTGATGTCCAGTAAGCATGGGCTGACAAGGCTCCAAAGTGGTTTGGTTTTCCAGCAAGCAAGTTCAAGACAATTGAAATCCCCTTATTTTCAAGAAGTATATCACTAAGGCCCTATTTGTTCCCAGCTATATTCCAAGACAGCTCTGTTGACATGGTCTGGTTACTGGAAATAAACCCTACCTGCATAAGGTCATGACAGCTCATCTGCTAGAAAAGATGACTGTATAAAACAGGCAGAAACAAGCTGCTAAGGCTTACAGTAGTGTCTGTGCTTACAAAACTGGGCATGGTTGTCAGCAAGACCAAGGCATTTGCCTCAGAGACGGTCACGTAGTTTCTGTGTCAATGCCTTCCGTGCCAAAGATCTCCCTGAGAGACTCTAGCTTACAAGGAAAATTTTGTTTAAGCTGAACAGTAGCTGTGCTGGATCGGAAATGTCAGGTGCTTCTACAGTTTCTGTTAACACCATATTTAGGTACCTCAATTTTTAATGTCCACAAGACATCACTGAAGTAGAGAAATACCACTGTCCACCTAATAAAGATGTAAAACTGAGTCAGACCAAAGCATGTACACTTCCTATCACAGTAAATAATGCCACAGCTGACGGGGGGATGGAAAGGAGCCCAGATCTCAAGCTAGGATCAGCCTCAGGATTGCAGCTTGTGAGTTTCATAACATAACATATGACTACACTGACAGCTCACTGTAAGCACAATAGCGTAACTGTGCAGCGCAAGCCGGGCAATGTGCTATTCACACTTGTTTGGTATTTAATTACAAAATATGAGCAATTGTAAGGAAACTTCTTAGCTTCACCGAACGGTATAAAAGCAGGACCTATCATGAAGTTAAATTATATAATTTTTGCAGGCTTTATTTCAGAGACAGACCATTCTGAACTACTTTCAGCTAATGTTCAGTCTGCATTAAGACCCCTGGGCTTTCAGTTCCCTTGAAAGAGAGACACCCCTTTTTTCTCCGGTCTAAAGATTTCTGGATAGTAAGTGATCGAACAGATAATTATGGAAAATTCAGAGCTGTACAGTAGAACATAAACTGTCAAGACAGTACTGGCCATTGTCTTAGAAAA